CAACCTTCGCATAGGACAACCCTCCGTCGCATGTACTTCGACCAAGTACCCGCAACTTACAGGGATCAGACCCGCTCAGGACCCAGGACCCACCCGTCCGCTCGTGGCCGTGGTGGACCTCAGGTGCGCAGGTGGGTGCATAGGCAAGTGCGCGCAAGTGCACCCACAGCGGCCTCGCATCGCTTCTCACCAGGTTTACCAGGTCAGGGAATACTCTAGTACCGAAATCCGACAGTCCAGGTCCTGGTCCAGGTCCGGGTCCAGTCCTGTGGAGGCACGGTACAACAAGGTAAGGCAAGGTAGGGTAACCTGGGAAAAAGGTGCTGCTTGCTGCTGCTAGAGCCCTGGCAGTCCACATGGTACATTAGCACCGTCGCTGCCTTTTCCCCCTCCGTCTTATTCCACCCGTTCTCTGAAGGGTCACGTTCTTTTTTATCTCGAAGAACCCCCCCTCTCCTTCCTCTGTTCTCGTTGCCGCCCCCTTCCACATACTCTTATTTTACTTCTCGTGCTCTCCGTTAGATGGCCGCCATCTCCCATTCCAACCGCTCCTCAATCCGAGATCAACTACCGCAGTCGACATCGACCTCACGATCTTCCACCAGAGTTGCTAGTCGCCGCTCTTCACTCGCCTCGCCTTCGGCTCCCTCCTCACCCGCCGTTGACCCTTTCTCCCACGAGGGCCAAGCCGCCTCCACCTCGACGGGCTACCGCCAGATCGGCCACTTCAGCTCTCCTTCCACGAGCAAGATCCAGCGATCCGGAGGCTTGCTCGGCCTTGCAGCTGCTGCAATCGACAAGACGCAGTCTGCGCTGTCCACCCTGCAGTCACAGTCACAGTCACAACCCGACTACTCCATACGTCAGCGTTCCTCCAATTCCGCTTTGGGCAGAGTCGCCTCCAGTGCCGATTCCGCTTTCAGCCCCACCGACTTGGACAAGCACGCACACGCACGATACCGAAGGTCCAACAACCATTCTCCCGCTTCTTCTTCGACAGGCACTTTCGCCGCCGAGGGCAAACACCCGAGTCAGGTGTCGCTGGCCAACGAAGTGCCCTCCTCACCCTATTCCGACACTGATCCCAACCGCCCTCTTCCAATCCGCATCCCAGCCGTCGAGAACAAGATGCACCAAACTTCTTCGCGGTTGCTCCGCATGACGGACGACGACAAGCCATTCACAAAGGTAGGCATCGCCAGCTGTTGCCCTTGTTCAATTGATGTGTTGTACCATGGTGCGCGGGGACGCATGTCTCGAAGGACAATCGACCTCGCCTCGTGTTGAGCATTCCGCCGCACTCAACCCCGCCATCCCCATGCCCCCCTCTTCCCTGCCCTCTCCCACCCAGATCTCTCTTGTAAAAAAGCTCACACACCACATAGGATTTCAAAGATCTCTTCGCAACCCTTGTTGTCAGCCTACTGCCCCTATCTGCGCATCGCGTCCGCCTTACTCGGGTTGAGAACACTTTCCTCTCGGAAGATGCCATCAACAATCTCGGTTCCCTGAAATTCTCCCAGTCGAACCGCATGCCGGATCCGAAAGACCCCTCCCGCATCGTAACAACGACAACGACGACAACCTTTTCCATGGCCAAAGACATGGCTCGTTCTATCTGCCAAAGGTTCCTCGAGGCACGATTCATTGAGTCCGCCGACGGAAAGTATCAGCAGGTCTACAACATGAAGGGCTCTGTCTGGCAACTGACGCCAAAAGGCGTCACTGTTCTCGATCGATTCTGCTCTCGCAACGGCATTCAGCAGAAGCAAACATCCGACCTTATCGGGTCTACCCTTTCACAGCTCGTTATTCTGGAGCGTGATGGCCAAACCGACAAGCTCATTACCGACCGTGGCACAGTCGAAGTTGTCTTCCGTCGATTCGTCGGCACACACGGCCCTAACATCAAGTCTAGCGTCACATCGGCAGATTCCGATTCGCTCAGTGACTACCGGGATGGCCTCACGGGTGTCAAGATGGCTAGCGAGCGTAAGATTAATGGCAAGACGTACCGCGACACTTTCACAGGCAAGGGTGCGACAGACTGGCTCATGGACTGCTGTACAACCGTGGACAGGAGGGAGGCTGTGGACATTGCGACGCTCTTTGTGCAGTGTGAACTGATGGAAGCAATCGTGCAAGACCGAGCACACATGTCGCAGTACGCCGGCCACAACGTCTTCCAGCCCACCAAGAATGCTATTTACCAGCTCACCGCCAAGGGCAAGGACCTGATTAACAACGTGGGCTCCAGGGGGCGAGCTTCTGAAAGCGAAGGTACCAACCCAAGCCGCAATGCGATCGCGCGCGACTCAAACACGCAGAGGCTGGACAAGATTCTTAACGATGCCGCACTCCGCTTGCTGTTCCGCGAGAACCTCAGGGAAACTCATTGTGAAGAGAATCTGTCGTTCTACCTTGACGTCGACGACTTCGTCAGGAGCTGCAAGGTCGCCATCCGTTCTGCTCAGAAGAACCCGAATTCTACTTCTATGGACGGGATTAAAGAAATCATGGCACAAGCTTATGGCATCTACAACGCCTTCCTAGCCCCAGGATCCCCCTGCGAGCTGAATATTGACCATCAGCTGCGCAACAACCTGGCAACTCGCATGACGAAGGCTGTTGGTCAAGACGTCGCCATGATAGACACGCTGCAAGAGGTAACGGCTCTGTTTGAAGACGCCCAGAACGCCGTCTTCAAGCTTATGGCTAGCGTGAGTCTTCGCCGCATCTTTACAACGGAGCCATGTACTAACAGGTGACCCCAGGATTCTGTGCCAAAGTTTCTTCGCAGTCCGAAGTACGAGCACACCTTGAAGCACTACGATTTTGACTCCCTTACCAACATTCGCCCTGGCTTGGAGCGAAGCCAGAGTCGGTCGAACCGGCCATGACGAGAACAAATAAAATGAAACAAATGCTCGACCGATACCCGATATTCTGTTGAATTTCACGCTCGCGACAAAAATAGGAGTTTCCATACTCCCCGCATTTTCCCCATGAAAACCTTTTGCATGAGGGCCGGCTCGACGCAATTGGCTATAATTGCTTCTCGCCCTCTGCCCCGGCGTTACGGGGGCCACTTATCTAATATCGTGCATATCTACGACGGATCGCGGCCACGATCCACAAGCGTCGGCCTGCTTCCCCGGACTGGTCCCATCTCCACTGTCATCTGGGTCTGATTTGTATCTTGGAAACGGGGAGGGGCGTTCGAGGGATTGACCATCTTAGACACATCATGAATCGGTCGGAGATGTGGGTGGAGCATTGCTTTTCCCCGAAATCTTTGCATGCTCCTTTTTTTATTTTTCCCCCCTGAGAGCGTTCCCACTCTCCAACATTGTACGCTCTTTTCCATTCTGTCTTGGATTCCATTGGGTGGAGGACCGGCAGGAAATAGGAAGGGAGGATGCTCCCCTTCTCCTCGCATCGGGACGAATTAACGAGAGCCACCAAATGACGGCCGATGGCATGAGGGAAGCAAAAAGTCCATCACGCACCACGCCCAACCTGCCAGCCCTGTCTCTGTTCAACGACATGTGGAGGAAAACTTCAAATGTCGCCGACGAACAGGAAGGTGCGATACCGATTCGTCCGTTCGGAATAACCCACAAAGGCAGGCGATGTGATGGACGTATGGTTACTGAGGCAGATGAGGAATTTACTCCAGAACGCGTCTCGCGTTCCATGTGTACATATGCACTCGCACGCGTGCGCAGAGAGCATCATCAGATAACTTTGTGGCTCCGCCCTTCCTTTCGATAGAGCATTAGGGAGAATGGAAGAGGAGCACGGCATTCGCCAATTTACCAGCATGACCATGACATGTCTGGATTTTCAGCAGGCTTGTAGTAGGCAGGACGGCGGCGTGTCCCTTGGCTTGAGATGTTCCAGCCATACCAGAACCATTGGACACAAGGTGCGAAGCACCGACCCATGGATGCCCTGTTTCCAGAGACAATGGCGGAGGTTAGGCCACAGGACGAACCGAGCTGATTGTTTTTCGCAGTATCCTGGAATGCTGGTCTACTCGATCGGGCCCTCCCGCCATTCCTGCACCCCAACATCGGCCAAATAAGCGTTCGATGAGTTCGATGGCCGCTCGGTATTCAGCCGAAACGATGTCTCTGCGAGGGCCCGCCGCTGTGGTTGGCGCCCCTTGATGGATTCCATCCTGTGTTGTTGTGCCTGAATCTGGGCAGCCCAGCCCTGCAGATGGTTGTGGTAGGTGTTCTGGAGCCGACACTGGTGAGGGTTTGTTTGTCGTCGTTCGTCCATAAATGTTGAGGCATCCTCGATGTTGTGCTTTTCCCCTTCTGCCTCATCATCCTCATCTCGCAATCAGTCACTCTTTTGACAGTCGCTCTTTAGCATTTTTGTTCGATCTTTTGCAACCAACCCCAGTCATTCTCTTGGACCCTCAGCAACCGCCCTCTCGCCCAACACAACAAAGCAGCCTTATTCTTCAACGCCCCTTCACGCTCGATTCGTCAAGATGTACACCAATACTGTCCTCAGCACCCTCGCCGCCGCCGGCATGGCCTCGGCCTACGTTCCTGCACGCCGCCAGGAGACCAACGGCACCGTCACGACCACCACGGTCACCGAGGTCGTCTCCGAGCTCGCCACCTGGTGCCCTGAGCCTACCAACTATGTCACCTGGGAGGAGAAGGTGTACACCGTCGAGGGCCCCACCTGGTTCACAATCACGGACTGCCCCTGCACTGTGACTCGCGTATGTCTCTCCCTTGGACCTGACGATCGCCCTGCGGCCTTACTAACATGATGATGATGACAGACCACCGAGTGCGCCGGAAAGCCCACCCCTCACCCCTGGACTCCTGAGCACCCCGGCCACGGCGGCCACTACCCCCACGGAGAGTGCCATGACGGCCACTACCCTGACGGCAAGCCTTGCCACGACGGCCACTTCCCTCACGGCCACGGAGAGTGCCACGACGGTCACTACCCCGACGGCAAGCCTTGCCACGACGGTCACTTCCCTCACGGCCACGGAGAGTGCCACGACGGTCACTACCCCGACGGCCAGCCCTGCCACGGTCACGTCAAGCCCGTCCACCCTCACTACCCCGGCCACCACGAGGAGTGCCACGGCGGCAAGTACCCTGACGGCAGCCCCTGCGACGACGGTCACTACCCTCACGGAGAGTGCCACGACGGCCACTACCCTGACGGCAAGGCTTGCCACGACAACATGAAGCCGGTTCACCCCGAGTACCCTGCTGGCCCCGGCAAGTACCCCGGTCAGTGCCACGGCGGCAAGTACCCTGACGGCAACACCTGCCACGGCGAGCCCCGCTACCCCGACGGCTGCGTCGACAGCAAGTACCCCGATGGCCGTGAATGCCACCCGCTGTACCCCGTGTACCCTGCCGACTGCCACGAGGGCAAGTACGCCGACGGCCGTGAGTGCCACTCTGCCTACCCGGAGTACCCTGCCGAGTGCAAGTTCGCTCTGTACCCCGACGGCAAGCCTTGCGAGCCCATCCACCCCGAGTACCCCGCCGAGTGCCACGGCGGCAAGTACCCCGACGGCCGCGACTGCCTGCCCGTCTACCCCAACGTTCCCCCCCACGGTCCTGAGGTTCCTGAGAAGCCCGTCTGCGACGGCCCCGACTGCGGCAAGCCCCAGCCCCCTCCCCACAACAACAAGCCCGTCTGCGACGGTCCCCACTGCGAGAACGACGGCAACAAGCCCGCCTGCTACGGCCCTGCCTGCGAGGCCAGCGCCACCCTCCCCCACGTCCCCTACCCCACCGGCGACCACGTCGAGGTCAACGGCGCCGCCTCGCTCCAGCAGGGCCTGCTGTGCGCCGGCATGGCCATCGCCGCCGTTGCCACCGTCTTCGGCGCCGCCGGCTGGTAAAGCGCCTCCTTTCTTTCGGGGACGACTCTTGTTCTGTTCACTCTCCGGACAGAGCTGGTCAACGGACAAGGGAGCGGGAGGGTGTGGGAATGTTTTGTCTTCTTTCAACAAGAACGAAACGACCGAGAGAGCAAACACTTCCCCTCAGAAAAAACAACACGCGCCCACCCAATACACAACAACAACAACAACACACAATCTATACTAACTGGAGGTCCCGGCCCCACATCGTCGCTGTCCGTTAGAGGTCCTGGCGGCGGGGAGCATCGGGAGGATGAAGTGGTTATTCCATTTGTCTCAACACCTGCATCCTGGTAATGAGTCTGTGGTCCTGGGGTCCTGGATTTTTCGGTGCTTGCAATTCTACGTCTGTCTCTTCCGTCCCTGCCCCCTTTTGTCCCTTCCACCTTTTCTGAAGGTGTGCCGAGGGGGAACAGGGGAGGGGGTAAAAGAGACTGGCCTGCTGTAATTCGAGTGGTGGTTCTGTTTCCACCCTTTCTGCATTTGTTATTCTGTTTTTCCTGGCTAGATACTTGGCAGCAATTGACTTCGCACGCGGTATCCCGGAAACATGAGCCCCTAATCTGCGATCCAATGTGACCCTGCGTGTGGTGAACAATTATTGTGTGATGTTCGATCCCGCGTTACATCCGACTCACCAAGTACGACAATCGTATCCGAACTTTCGCATAGTCGGATCGCATTGATCGATCCAAGGGTTTGAGCCGGGGACCACTCGCTGACAGCCCGAACCCATCAGTCTCCCCTCCACTCACCATTTCCCACACTTGTGGTAGGCCACCGAAGCCTCCAATTTTAAGAGCGATACCGGGACGAGTCTGTACCCGACCAACGGTTACATGATCGAACCCGTCTCAAGCCGAAAGATCATTGTACCTAGGCTTCTTCTCACAGACGCTGATGGACCGGAGATATCTCGCAATAGATTTCCTACTACAGCTCAAGCAACGCTAAGGGGTATATCTGTCATCTGACCATGTCAACATCTCCCACTCCTCAGAGACGGACATCCTCGTGATCCGAGCTTCTCCAGTTCGCCTCGATGTCCCATCGCTCAACCGACAGCAGCCATCTGGTGCTCGCGACGCGAATATTCATGCCACAGCTTCACGACTCCAACTCGGCATATGCCTTATTCGAAGGCACCGGCTTCCTCGTCGTCCCTCCGGGTCGCAGCGCTGCCGGATGACTAGGCTCCCACGACGCCTGCCCGTGCGCAGCGGTTGCGGGGCCCGCCCCTTGCGCCTCGGTCGGCGTGGCGTTGGGTGTTGCCTCGTCCCAAGGCGTACGCATTGCCAAGTCCGAGTAGGCGTTGCTGGCAGGATACTCATGATCTGTCCCGGACAACTCAACAGGCTGCTGGTGGTTTTGCGCAGTCAATGACTGCCATGGTACATCGCCCTTCGCGTCACGGTCGAAGAGTTGGCCGAGGTCGTGACCGACAGAGGCGTGTGACTGGTGGCGGATGCGCAAGGGCGAAGGATAGGCGCTGGGTGAGGTCGTGTCGTTCGCCGTGCCGGGAGTTGAGTGTGCCGTCGAGCTTGCCACAGAGGGCGGGGCGGTCGTCTCGGGGGGCGTCGGAGGCTTCAAGTAGGACGGAATGTCGAGAGTAGGTGGGGACGGTGTTTTCCTGTGTCGAGGCGTCGAGTGAACAGAGGAGACGCTGTGCTGGCTCTCTGTCAACTGGTGGTTGTATGCCGGCTTGGAGTAGCCGCCCATCTGGGATTGCCATGACGTTTGATGACGGTGCTGCGGCTGCTGATGCTGCTGATGCTGGTACTGCCCCTGGACATGGCCGGCGTCTTCAACGGCGACGGCGCGGGCCTTCTCGGCGAGCTTGTCGACTAGCTGGCCATGGCTCTTCTTGAGAGTCTTCTTGACAAACCCAGTCATGAGTACATTGCAGCGCATGTCGACGTCCTCGCGAAGGTAGAGGCCCTGGGAGGGGGCGTTGAGTCCCAGCTCACGCTTCTCGGGGGCCTC